TTCCTCATCCTCATCTTCTCCTGAGATGTTCACCATGTTCATCTTCTTCAGAGATGTTCCCCATGTTCAGATTTCGAGGTAAAATACCCACTTTGCAACATTGATTCATAACCTCGTGCAAGTCTGACATGCCAGCTTGTCCCAAGGATCCTTTTCGGTCCTCTGTATCCATGGCATTATGTTGTTCCATGACAACGTGCGGACTTGCGACAAGTTCAAGATCACTTAGCGGCTCGCCACACCTTTTTTTTTTAAGCGACAAAGCTCCAATATGTTCATTGGGAGCAGCACGGCTAGCAACCGGGCCCAACATCCCCTGTAAAGATCTTAACAGATAGTTCAAGGAATCGTTGAGAAGTATCGAGGCCATTACCCGGCTTCAACTGAGAGAAACAATCTTGAGCACAACTCAGAGCAGCATGAGCAAACTTTTAGGAATATAAAACCAAATTCTACGGACGATAGTCTCCTCGGGGTTTCCATCTGTCGGTGCCAATACTAGATTCTCATACAATATCCCCACCGTATAGTCGTTATCTGCGGACAAATTGCTAAAATGGCTTAAATTACACTTCATACAGGTTGTGACTTCCTTCGCACTAAAATATAACTGGTAACCTTTGACCAATGGCCAAACCAAATAGACTTTCCAAAAAATCAAGACGTAGTTGGTCTATCCTGACGACATTCGGTGCTCTCGGGATATTACGTGCAGTGTCCCATAACGACGAAACCCAGACATCCTCCTAGAGTGTGCAACGCACATGTCCTTTGAACCTCGAAAGCGGAACCCCTGCACAAATGCAGTCGGAAACCTCCCGACATGCATAAAGTCAATGGTTATGAAGTATGTCAGCAACTTACAAATTTTTTATCCAGACCGTTCTGGTTTTCCGCTTCAGGGTCTCACGGACCGCGACCGGAATTTGCAAGTTGTTTATCTTACCATCAAGAAGTCTACGTACCCCTCATGGACTAATTCGATCATTAAACTAGATTCTCACAGCGAGCTTCTTCTATGAGTCAAAGATGTATCTAGTCTTAATAGCAACATTTACAATGAGTCTGAGCAGAATTCTACTTCGCCTCATACTGAAATCGTTAATCACGATGAAAAATTCGATAAAAAAAATACAAATCGCATTTATATATCATGACCCATTTACTCTTATTCCTAAGGAGAGAGATCAGATATCGTTTGCCCTTAGTATTGATCCTTCTCCATTTACACAAGTTAACCATATGAATAGTACCTCCTTGTTCCATAAAATTTTTATGATCCCGCATAAGCTTAGTTTTGCCCGAACAAATAACCACAAATTGAACGAAACCTCATTTTAATTGTTTTCACCCATCTTATCAAGCATTCCCTCTACTAGATGTCATTGAAAAGTTCCTAACATATTGACAATTCTGCTTCAGCAGCAATTTATTCAGACGAAAACTGGCTCAGCCTTCGTTCATGCTGAAACTGATGATACTAACTTCATCCTTTGACATATGACTCAAGTTAGATGCTCGTTTTTTTCTCCTTTCTCTCGTTCCCTCCATGGTGCGTCCAGTATTGGTGAATCGACGACCGATGGTATTAAGATTTGAACTTCAGTGTTTAATATAATATACCTCGATTACCAGCAGTTCGTTTGTTGTCGCGCTCACCAGTGAGAGTAAAACATAGTTTCTCCGTCTACAGCTTCGTAGCCACCGGCGAAAATGATTTTCCGGACACTCCCGACAACATTTCCCACGTTCCTCACTCTATTTCATATTGACATCTGTTTCATTTTTTCTAATATAAACTACTTTCCAGTACGGGGAATTCCCGACATACGCACAACTTTCTTCAACGTCCAAGCCCTCATCACGATTGAGAAACCACGTCGTCCAGTTAGACAAGAATTTCCTCCCCCATGTTATATAACCACCTGCACTAAGAGCAAAATCAACCCATTGAAGATTCGCCTCTAACTCATGATCAACTCCAAGGTATTCCTTACACTTCTGGATTAACTCGGGAAAAAATCCTACTTCATCGACGTCATCGACCACTTCAACGACTTCATTCACCTTGTCGACTTCAACCATCTTATCGGCTTCAACTACTTTGGACGTGACTACTTCAAGCCACCACCCTACCCTATACATTCCCTTGCATATGTCGCATGATGATTCTCATTTAGCTGAGTCTCTTTGAGTTGGACTCTCCCTTGGTATCACATAGGCAATGGGACCGTAGCGTTATCTTGGCTTCCTTGCTCCCAGATCTAGCTCCCTCCTCTCCCAGTCGGTTAGTTGTGTGCATATTTCCCTTACCCACTGCCCTCATCACCCTAGTGCCGACCCTTGCATGCCTTCAGTTAGGCATATCTCCACCCTATTTCAGGCTCCCCTTTTTTTATGGTCGACCCTGCATGGTGTCATCCTTTTGTCGAGCATTACCCACCCCGATGTTCTATATGTTAGGGTTATTGGTTTTGTTTCGCTACCACTCTCCCACCATCATGTGTGACTGCCCTTAGGAGTTTCGATTCTTAGGCGGCATTCACCCCCTCTGAGACCATCCCACTCTTAGTGGTTCAGCGACATGACATTATCTTGTGACATATTGTTTTTTTTTCCTTTCAGCACTGGGGCAATTGCCTCAAGGACTTTAGGATTGTATATTGCTACATTTCATTTTCTGCTGTTAGCTAGGATGTGTATACCAAACATTTGCATTTCATTTGACATTATGTAGCTGAGGCTGCATCGCATGGACTCCGCATAAAGTGTGCTCCGCATCAACTTTCTGTTTATTGCAGACTTTCACTTCTTTCTCGGATAGCGTGTTTATGACTCTTGCGATCCATTACAGGTCTGAGGATCGTACAACGGGCCTCCATCTGCCCTGGCCTACGGCCACTGGCCTACAACCAGGGCCTATTCAACTATTTACCAGTTCGGCCTTTGGGACCAGGCCGTGGCCTGACCCCACAGGCCGTGTACTGTTTCTATCTAGTCCAGTCCTGCCCGGTACCACTGTCAGTACCAGACCGCTCCAGTCCAGTCCAGTCAGTCCGCTGGGGGTATACCCCAGTTGCACTCTGTATCTCGTCATTCTTCATTTTGCACTTGTTGGAGTACGTGCGGTGTTGAGTCTGCGTCGGAGCTGCGCTGTTCGTTCCAGCTCCATCTCCAGTTCCTCCGTCCTGAACCCCTTGTTCTCCATCTTTTCGGACTACCATCCTGGCGGGTCCGACACAACTACAAAGGGATTGTTATTTGAGAAGACTAACGTAGTAGACTGTCTGTGCGTTCCTAACAACGAGGAGATCTGCAGTTTGATCCTAGGGGAATGTCACGACACAGAGGGACATTTCGGTCGGCAAAAGACTTTAGCCAATCTGATGCATGCGTACACTTGGCCAGGAATGAAATCTGACGGCATAGAGTATGCCAACAGTTGCAAAGTGTGCCAGAGAAACAAGACTTTTTTTTTTTCCTTTTTTTTTTAATTGCTCCAATCTATTCGTGGGGAGCAGCACATGCTGGGAACCGGGCCTAGCGTCCGTTGTAATGAAAATACATTCATGATTGATGATCATTGATGATCATTGATGATAATTTGGGATGATTGAGGATCATTTATGATGATTTAGGATGATTCAGGATGATAGAGTGGATGATTGAGATCATGAAATAGAGATAGATGATGACTAATCAGAATGATTGTCTACCCAGCACTCAAATACTATCCTATCCCCTGTGTTACCGCGCGTTCATTGAACGCGCGTTTCGCGTTCAGGGTATGAACGCGGTGAACGCGCGTTCACTGGTCGCGCGTGAACGCGTTTGACGCGTTTTCGTAGGGAGTTGTGCGGGGCGGGAGGGGCCTTTGGGCAATGTGGGGAGTGGCAGCGGTGCTTGGGGGGACTGTGGGCAGTGTGGGGAGCGGCGGCGGAGCTTGGGGGGGGATTGTGGGCCAATGCCCCAGGCAAAACAGGCAAAAAATAAAAATAAAAATAAAAATATATGTGCGTGAAATTGTGCATCTGTGTATGTATGAATGTGTGTGCGTGAATGTGTGCATTTGTGTATGTATGAATGTGTGTGCGTGAATGTGTGTGTGCGTGTGAAGGGTCCTTTTTTTTTCTTTTTGGGGCGGGCGGGGGAATCCCCCTAGCACCACTCAGACAACCCATGCAGGCTATCTGAAGGGTCCTCGCAGCCATGTAGCACAGACCCCTCAACAAAAATCAAGGTAGGCAGTGAATATGAAGTAGAGCTCGAGCTGGCCGAATATATACTCAAGATTCTACTTCAGGTCTGTGTTTCAGCAGTTATGGGTTGCTCACGTAGCTAGGGCCTGCTGGTCTCTGCACGTGACTCTTAGGGCTTGGCTGCACTACTCACCAAATGTGCAAAACTAGAATGAATCTTCTGCAGAACATGGAATGATACGCCGCCATATGTTTTGTCTTCTTATGGGCGAGACAGCGAGGGACAGAAATGTCCGCTGTGGAGTGGACAGCATGAGCATCGGGCCCGATGGGTACGGCGTCACCAGGCCCTGGGACAGGTTGCTCTTCTTATGGGCGAGACAGCGAGGGACAGAAATGTCCGCTGTGGAGTGCTGCTCGGCTCGCGCGTATTTAAAATAGAACTTTCAGCAATGCCCGTGCTGACGATTACGGCCACATTCACTCTGTTGACAACAGACGAGATAACAACCAGTCTGAGAGGACTCCTTAGAGGGCAGAGAAGAATACAGACAGACCGAAGATGCTGTCACAAAGACAGGTACTGAGATGTACAATATCAAACTGGACAACGAAGTCATCACAAGCATTCACCTCATAAAAACGAGCTCCGATCTTAAATTTCAAGACAAAGAACCAGAACCAATCCTCGCTTAGCTGGCGCCAGAGAACGAAGATGAAGGACACTGACCTCGCCATGTCGATGTGGAGGACATATACAGACGTTGCATACCTCACTCCTCCTGTCGATTATTATGACAGAAACGACTGCACTATTCATTCCTCAACTACACGTCTTTCCCCTCTCTCTCTCTCTCTCTCTCTCTCTCTCTCTCTCTCTCTCTCTCACACACACACACACACACACACACACACACACACATCAGAACCGGCTCTGAATGCGATGTACTTTCGAGCGGAGGTATCTACATTATGTCATGAATGCATCATTGTTAAAGAATTCATCCTTCGTGCTGCTAAGATGAACAGCAAGGACCGAAGTGTACTATAACTTACGCAGAAACAATGGACCAGAAAATCGAACCACAAAGAGCCTTGCAACTACTACCTTCTCTTACAACAACTCGCGTACAGGTTGGTGTACTGTGACATAGAAAACCGCTATGTCACTGTATATGCCTCATTCTATAATGGCTTCCAGAGCGTGGTGGTGTCGAAGACGAGGGAGGTGACGACGTACGGGTCCATGTTGGACGCCGGGCGACGGTCCTCCATGTACCCCTTCTTCTTCGCCTCCGTGTCTCTTCCGATCCTCACGGACGTCCCTCTGCTCGCAACGGCCCACGAGAACCGGTCCATGCTGGCCGTCTCGTGGCGGCCCGTGAGCCGCCGCTCGTTGCCCTCGCCGTACGCCTTGATGTGTTCCTTGTGCCTCAGCTCCAGATTCTTCACGCCCTCCATGATCACCTCCCATCCGCCGTCCTCCCTCATCGCCTTGGTGCTGAAGTTGCAGTGGCACCCGGCACCGTTCCAGTCGCCTTCCACGGGCTTCGGGTCCAGGGACAGAATCACCCCCTCCAACTCGGTAATCCGCTCCAGCAAGTACCGCGCCACCCACAGCTCATCCCCGGCCGCGATGCCGACGGCCGGCCCCACCTGGAACTCCCACTGCCCGGGCATCACCTCGCCGTTGGTCCCGCTGATCGTGATGCCGGCGTACACGCAGGCCTTGTAGTGGGCGTCCACGATGCGCCTCCCCCACGCCTTGTCAGCACCCACGCCGCAGTAGTACGGCCCCTGCGCGCCGGGGTAGCCATTGACGGGCCAGCCCAGCGGCCACTTGTGCTCCTTCTCCAGCAAAGTGTATTCTTGCTCCAGGCCGAACCACGGCTCCGTCTCCAGCGCCTGCTGGAACAGCTTGTTGGCGGCGTAGCGGGTGTTGGTGGGAATGGGCTCGCCCTGAGGAGTGTAGCAGTCGCACATCACAAGGATGTTGTCCCCGCCTCGGAAGGGATCCCTGAAGATGGCCTGTGGATAGAGAATCACCTCGCTGTCCTCGCCGGGAGCCTGGCCCGTGCTGGAGCCATCGTAGTTCCACTTGGGAAGCTCAGACACCGACTTGACGGGACCAGTCAGGGTACGGGGCTTGCTCCTGAGGTCAAGACCGCTCCCTCCCACCCAGATGTACTCTGCAATGATGCGCTTCTCACCCGCAGGCATCTCCAGCCTCAAGAGGTCATCTACGGTCGCCGCCATCCTCGTCCCCGTTCTCACTTTGCTCTGCTTCTTCTGGGATTCAAATCTGCTCTGCTCCGCCACCGTGATGGAGCTAAATTGCTAATGCTGGAGCACCGGCGATGGCAGCTTGATAGGTAGGAGGGGAGGGTGGAAGAGGGGACCGATCCGTAATGGGTTGGATTGCGAGACGACGCTGGACTGGTGGGAGTACGCCTACTGAGGGGCTATATACCTAAGGACTCCGCCGTTCTCGTGATCGATCCGTCTGAGGTGCGGGAGTGGAGAGGCGGCCCGCTTCCTCCGCAGTGGGAAGGCGAGAGAGAAAGTCCCCATTCTCCCGGCACGTGGTCCTGAGGCTGAATAATACACAAGTCTGTCACTTAACAGACCCCCGTGGAATCAGACTCTTTGTTTTTGTTTTTGTTTTTGTTTTTGTCCACACGCATTTTCTCCTCCTTTCTAAAAGAGGTAAAAAAACAACAACGAAAAAAAAAACAAAAAGGAAAAGGGGTAGCCCTTGCCATTACTACTACGTTCACCCGGCTCCCTGGGTACGAGCCTATATTAAGGTGTTTGCTAACAGCCGCGTGTGTGCACCATTTCTCGATTATTGCGGATCATCCTCGCGCAGGGGCCATGCTAATCTTCTCTCTCTGTATCATTCCAATCTTAACGGATGTCCCGAAGTACACGCATCTGTGCATCAATCAGCCTCGCTTAGGGCATACTCACACAATGCCCGCAAAATCGCAAGATCGCAAAATCGCGAAATGGCGAAGTGAGCGGCCAGATTGTAAACGAACGACTGGATCTGGCCTCTCATTTTCCGTTTTTTTAAAAATTTTGGGGGCGTGTCCTGCTTGCGCATACATGCGTCGTTCCGAAGGAAGTATCCAATAATGTTACGGGCCTTGTGCAAAGTCCCAAAAAAAAAAAAACTCCACATGGCAAATGCAAGGGCAATCTCTCCCGCGTGACTTCCGGAGAAGTAGCCGGGCCAGAATGGACATCAGTTTCGTGCCGATGAAGGACAATACCTGACCCTTACACTGGACAATACCTGACCCTTACACTGGACAATACCTGACCCTTACACTGGACAATACCTGACCCTTTCACTGGTCACGGGGCCTCCGAGTTGCTGCTACATTCACCAAACGTCATCACCTATCCGCGGCGAGCACCTTGTGCTTGGAACCGGGCGCATTGTTCGTCCCGTTTGCATGATATCAGCAGCACGAGATTGATGAATGACCAGCACTGGCCAAGGGGATTGATTGTCAACACCGCAGCCCCTAATTATTATCATTTTTTTATTATTATTATTATTATTATTTTTTGGAAAGTTGATAAGTGACATTAAAATCAGAGTTGGAGAGGCCGGGGACCTCACAATTCTACCCGGAGTTACCCTGGGGCCATTACCCAGATTAGGCTTAGCTGAAAATCGGGTTCAGCATCCCTTCTGAAATCAAAAGCAACCTTCCAAAAAAAGGATCAACCTTTAAGCTCAAAAAAAAGGTACTGATGACTATTCTCTCTACTTAAGATAGCTATGCCATGACCTGCTACTGCCAATTGTCTAACCAGCCAAATACAGGGAAGAACTGAAAATTAAGAGAATATACTCCATTAAATCCCACGGTGGTCTAAATCGACCCCATTTAATTCTAATCATGAGGTCCTTCAACTCAATCCCCCTACCCAAACCTCTTAACACGAAAGCCAGGGAGAAAGAGAGAAGGACCCCTCAGGGCTAATTGTCGCCCATTTGCTAAAGGAGCCCCAGGTGCGTTGGAACCACTGTAAGTTCCTAGCTCCGGGTATTCGGTGCTGAATCCAGTCCGCAGTGATAACTATTCTCAGTTTTGACCTCATCAGTGCCTTCTGTTGGTGAACTGAGAAAGTCTCGCCCTTGAAAACCTTAGCATTCCGTGCTGTCCAGATGCTCTCTAACAGCGCCCCTCGACAACAAAAAGCCACATACCCAGTTCCTGAGTGTAAGCAGAGTGTCGAAGGGAGGATTCCTGTAAGCCACCAATCATCGGACCACTGCATTTCTTGATCGTGGAGTGAATGCCAACGCCTCTTCCACCATTCTAACAGATCATCCAACATGGGGCAGAACAGCCACAGATGAGCATGATCTTCCCAGCCCCAATTACAACGTAGACAGGTGGGGGAGACCTCCATCCCTTTGTTCGACAAATACAATGCGGTCGCAGTAACCAACAGGGACTGTAACCAAATAATTGCCGCCTGCTTCTGAGAAGGGAGTTTCTTCAGAGCAATCCAAAGAATTCTCAAATTTTGCTCTGAGACTCCTGATAGTTGCTGCTGATCAGCCCTTTTAAGGGCCAGGGAAGCCGGCGTAACTTTTGATTTAGCATTCTGAATTTCAACCCCTACTTTAGAGTTATACTGGTACAGGGGGATAAAAGAGTCATTGGACCTAAGCCCCTTCCATCCATATAGGAGGGGGTCCACTCGATACGAGACTGCATCTCTCCCTAGAAAAGCTGTGGCTTTTTCCCTCCCATCCTCCTGTAGGAAGACCCGCACCTCTTCTAAATCTGAAGTTTTCGGCACCGTAAGTTCTCCAGTCTCTCGTAGCTGCCCCGTGGTCCGAAAGATCGAAGGGAGAGACCATGACTGTACCTTAATACCATGTTCCTCAGCTGGGCCCAGTACTCTCCACACCTCATTAGTATGAGTCGGAGATCTGACCCAAGTGTTCTGCACATTCTCTATGTCTGCCTGGAACAAGTACGCCCACCCCTGCGGTATTGCTTCCAGCAAGGCTTGATAATTTCGTGACAGATTCTGTACCCTGGGAAGTTTCCTTCTCAGGGCTTCTTCGTCCAACCAGTCGGAGGCATCTGAGTCCCAGATGTCTTTGACTTGAAGGATTCCTTTCTTGATCCATGAATTACCAAAATTTAAGGCTCCCCCTTTAACTGCAAACGGCTTGCCATCCTGCTGGAGAATGTAAGGATTGTCAAATAAAGGTTGATTTAGGCATTCCATTTTCGTCTGAGGCAGGTTCCACTCCATAGGTTTGAGCTTATACCAGGCATAGAGAATCTTTCGGCAGATTCTTGATTGGGGACGTCGCTGTGAATATGATGGCAACATGAGACATAACCACACTCTTGAAGGGTCCTCCAGCCCCCATTCGCTGCCCAAGATATATTCCGCCAGTCTCATCCAGAGTTTACATTCTTCACCGACCATTGCTTGGACTGGCCACTTTGACACCAAGGCAAGGTTTTGCTTGAAGGGATCCAATACCCCCAGGCCTCCTTGGCTCCGTGGGCTGGCTATTGCTTCCCAGGCCACTTTGGAGATAAAACCTTGCGCTTCAGTTGCCGACGGCTTCCAAAGGTAACGTGCAGCAGCTCTCTTAATTTTCCTGTAGGCTTCCTCTCCTATCAAGCAGACCGCCAGGGGAAACCAGAGGGTTGAAAATGCAGAAGCATAGAGTACTAAAGCTCGACCAAAGAGAGAAAGAGTGTGCCTCCGTTCCCACTTTGCCATTCTGGAAACCGCTTTGTCCACCAATATGTTATCCTGCATCGAAGAACAATCTGAAAGAGAAATCTGTACTCCCAGAAATCTGTCAGAAGAAGAATCAGGCACCCGACGCAGTCCCCACTCTACACACAACTCGAAATGACGGAGGAGGAAAAAGATAGATTTATCCCAATTTATTGAGGCTTCCGATAGCTCGCAATACATATCTTAAATCTTACGTAGTTCAAGCATACAATCTGAGGTATTCATGCAGGCCACGGTTAAGTCATCAGCAATAGCCCCCACCTTCCAATGCAGTGAAGGGGGTGACCTCTAACCTTCTATACTATTATTGAATCTTATATTATCAAGCAATACATCTAATTGGAGAACGAAAATTAATGGTGCCAGGGGGCAACCCTGCCTCAAGGAGCGCGTCAGGGTGAATTCTTCGGAAAGTTTACCGTTTACCACAACCGCAGCTGTTGCATTCGCATAGAGAGCTTTAGTCCAAGTACAAAACTTGGGGCCAAAGCCCAGCCTCAGCAGCGATGTATTCACAAACGCCCAGCCTACCTTATCATAAGCTTTTTCCATGTCAAGCATAAGGATAGCTAAGTTCCTATTCTCTTTTCCGATTATTTTCAGTGCCTGAATCGTCGTTAGGATATTTTCAAAAATAGACCTCCCTTTGACAAAGGCTCGCTGTTCTACCCCAACCAAAGAGGGGAGAATTTCCGCAAGTCTGATGACCAGGATCTTCCCTAACAGTTTATTAGTCACATTGAGAATGGAGATCGGACGCCAGTTGCGTACCTCCCTTTTGTCCCCTTTTTTGTATAGAAGAGAAATCATCCCCCGGACGACCCTTTAGGGAGGGAGCCTGTCGAGAGAACCGTATTGTAAATTTCACATAAAAAGGGGGCAAAGGCTTCCCATGCACAGAGAAAGAGTTCAGGCCATCCGGGCCCGGGCATTTGCCTGAGGCCATCTATTTGGCTGCCAAGAAAGCCTCTTTCTCTGTGATGGGAGCCTCAAGAAGGTTTCTTTGAGTCAGAGGAACTTTCTTTTGAGTCTTATTAAAAAAATCAGAAAATTCCGATAAGTTAGTGTTAAAGGAATCATACGGCCGTCTGGTGGTCACTATGTCCTATTGCATAGGAACATATTTGGGTGGTTTCAGTGGCAAGGGGAGCCGTCAGGACAAAAGGATGGATCAATTCCCTCCTTGGTGGTTTTGCTTGACGAAGAATCAACGACCGGAAGGTGAGTTTAGTCATCCGGTTATAGCCAGTTGCCCCAGTTGCCTCACCTTTAGCCAGTCCAACCAGTCAGACTGACGCTGGATTTCCAATTGCCCCAGTTCCAAGCGTGCGACAGTTCTCCTAATTGACCAATAATATTCCGTAAATGGGTCATCCCCCATTGAATTCTCTGCTTCTTCGATAGTGGCTAATAAACATTTCTCTTTCCACGAGCGAGCGGCTGCTTTCATCCTAGAGAATTCCTCTATGGCAGCCTGAATAATAGCAATCCCAGTGTCTGCCCACTCCTCTAC